AACTCTGAAATTAGCTTATTTGCTGGAGAAGGATGCCTGATGGCTCTGCTATCTTGTGGGGATTAAAGACTAAAAAGGGCTTGAGGCATTTTCACATAGCACAGTTCAGATGGAAGAATACTTTCAAGTTTGGCTGCAAATACTGAAAACAAATTTACAGAGCTTTTTTTTTTTTTTTTTCCTTTGAAATTTTGATGAATTCACAGACTATTTAAATGCTTCCCATGACCTCTATAAAATAAAGAAAGAGAGTATTCCCAGACTGGCTCAAATTAATTAAATGCTAGCTCAAAGAGATTTTCCCCCACCTGTCTAAATACATATTTAAGTTTAAAATAACACAACCCTGTATAAAAAAAAAGATAATATGATACAATCTAATCTGTAATTATGTGCAGATGGTTGTAGGCAAGATCAACTTAGTTACAGCTACTCTAGAGTTACCACTACAGGAGTGCTCTTTGTTCATCTTGAAGGATTGCTACTGGTGAATTGTAAAATATTTGACCAGTGGATTGGTTTGCTGTTCGCACTAACCTAGTGGAGAGGTGTAACTTAAGGACCGACTTGGTTGGTGGAGTTCATGTTATGGTTTACACTGCACGCAGAGTGAGTGTTACTGAGAGTTGTTTCGATGAAGGAAAACATGATGTCTTGGAGAGCATTGGTACGCTATTATACACTATTGCTGATGCTGAGCAGAGCTGTATGTAAATTAAAGACTGAAAAGGGCATTCAAGAATATGCAGCTTTGACTGGGGGAGGAAAAATGTGCATATGATTTTCATTTCACCAAGAATTCAAATTCATCTCTACTTTGAAACAGAATATTTTTCAACTGGCTTGAAACATTTTTGTTCTGGTAAAAGACAAAAAGTGTTTTGTTCCTATTGCAACTTTCAATGTATTTTAAAATATTGCAATAGGAACGCATTCCAAATGAGAAGTCAAAACATCTTTTTCTGAAAATTCAGTCTTGTCAAAATAATGGCTTTTTAAAAAAACTACTTTGTCTTAAAAAAAGACACTGATATGAGCCACCTGTATCTCTCCTTATTTTAGCCATGCTGAATGCTGTTCCCAGTCATTTAGTTCTAAGTTCTTTCTGATAAATCTTCTATGAGGTGATTAGCAAAGTTATCAGATAGAAAATAGAACACAAAGACAAAAGCTACAATCCAGTTTTGAAAATTATAAAATGTGAAAAGTGTAGGAGAAACACTGACTAAAGCAGTTATCAGATGTATGATGACTACCGTAACTGCTGTGTTAATGCTGGAGGATAATTAATTTCTCTTCCATACTTACTGTGGTGGTATATAGAAATCCACAAGATTAAAGATCTAGGATTTTTCAGTATATTTTGGCCATGAAATTATACAATGCACAGGGACTTTTAATTTGTCTGCAAATTTGATTAAGAAAAAATAATCAGGAAAAAAAACTCAAAAAAAAAAAAAAAAAAAAAAATCTGTGAAACAGTGACCTGCAGGTCTTAAGAGCTATAGTTCTAAAATATACCCCTGGCTCTTAGCCTTTGGATTTGGAGTCATGCCTAGAGCCAGAGATCTGCTTTATTTCTGTTCTTTTGCAAACTCTCAGCTCAAACTCTTAACTATTCAAAACAATTTATTTTAAGTGAAATTTCCTTCTCAACCCATGACTCTTTTAAACACAGCAACTTGCCAAAAGAGGAAAATTAGAAGTACTGGCCAAGACAGCTTGGCGATCTACCCATTTTAAAAATCAGAGTAGGTGGACTTTGCTGCCTGGCTGCCAGTAGCTCTCTGGTGTGAACTGCAGATCTGATTTAAGGCTGGGACTGGGAGTCTGCTGCTTATGGATCCAGTCTCATCTCTTCTACCAGTTAGTGCAGTGAACAAGTCTTGAACAAGTCGCAGGCTCTTTGTCCAGGTGTGCTCTGCTGCCCGGGAGTTCAGGGTAGTATTGACTTCATTCAGAAAAAAAGTATGTTTTGCTCAGAGCTTTATGAGTGCACTAAGCCTCATGTCCTGCACCTACACATGTGCATTTGCCACATGCTGACTTGTGTGCAGCTTGTTAGAAGGAGAGGTTATGAGTGTTGTAACCTCTAGAGTATTTTTTTTTCTTCAGTTTGAAGACAGAACAGTGTTTTGAGCTGCAGAAAGTCTGGCATGCTGGCTGAGGTTTCAAGATCTTAGGCTTTTTTTAATGGTTTCTATAAACAACAGACTGAAATAATTTAATCTTTACCTCTGTTTAACACATACTATGACTGGCCTTAACATCTCTGAGACAGGGAACCTGAGACTTCCTTCTGGTGGTGGTATGGTTCCAGTTGCATCTCAGTTACAGACGTACATGCCCAAAGTGCAACTCCTCACAGCTTTCTCAGGCCAATTTGATAAAGCAGTGAACAAATTATATTTCTAGAATGTATAAGTTCAAATACTTATAACTATCCTTCTTTTTAACTCTCTTCTTGTTAAACCACTGAACTGTATATCAATGTACAACTTAAGCTGTAAACTATTACAACAGTTTCCTGTCCACTTCTTCCTAGTTAACTTTTTATTTTGCAACAAAGCCACATAATCTGCCTGGATATACAAAGTCTAGTTCCCTTCACGTTAACCTCAGGTTGATCCATTTTTAATGGATCAAGTTTGATCCATCCATCATTACTTGTTTCATTAAACACTCCACTGCTCTCTTTTTCCAGTTGGAAAAATCAGCAGAGTTACAGGAGAGAGATTTTAAGCTCAGAGAAACTGAGATCAATCATGTTGAGAGACTGGAGAGTTTGGAGCATGAAGGAACTTTGTATGCTGCCGTGCATGTTTACATGGCTGCTGTGTTAGGAAATTATTTCAAACTTGGGGATTCTAGTAGATGTTACAATCTATCAAAGCTTCAGTTTGGATTAAAAACTTTTATTTTTCTTAAACAGAAGGAAGCACATGGGTGTAATAGTTGAATTTAAAGGCATTGTTCATAGTAGAAATTACTTATGTCAGGCATATTTGGGTAGAGGATTTGATGCATTCTTTTATATTACTATGTAAAATTGGATCAAACACAATAAAATGGCGAATAAGAAAAAATAAAGGCTTGTGGGATATCCAGCAGTACAGTAGAAAAAGGTGTGGAAACACAGAAACAGAAATTGGACCAAATTGCTCAGCATAGTTGTGTGGACTAGTGTGTTATCTTGCTTATCCATCCTGTGCCCCTGCATTGGTCTTCATCTAATGATATTTCTCAGCTTCAGCATTCTGAATGCTTCTCAGCATTTTTCTGTCTGGGATATATTATTAGAAACAAGAAGACTTTCAAAGATAAACTGATTGAAAAGCTGATGGAGTTTTGATTTTGCTAAATTTTATGTGAGAGATACATTAGTATCACTTAATGGCCTGCTTTGGACCACGGCCAAAGGAGTGTTTGCTTCATTTCCTTGAGTAGCCAGTAGGATTCAGCATCTTCTGACAGTCTGTAAGATAACTACACAGCCAAGAAAGTTAAGAGGAATGAGCTGAAACTTGGTTTCATTTCTTAAAAGATACTTGGAGGGATTGTCATAATTTTACTGAGTTAGTTCTAACCTTTGGAATTTTGGAAATGTTAATTGGAAAGCTGAGTACTGCAGAAATTCATTTATCTGATACTTTTTTTCCTCAAAACTCACATTAGTCAAAATTAGACTGTCTCTCCTGCTGTGAGTCATTTGCTTTGAAAAGGTCTCTGTTAGCTGAAAATCCAGTGGCAAAGCTAGATTTCCAGTCATGTGTTTGTGTAACCAGGGTTCCACTTCACACAGGAGTTAATATTAAGATGAATGAATAACTTAAGCTATTAAGAAATAGCACAGTCCCAAATTTCAGTCCCGATATCTGTAATTTCAGAGATTTTAGAAAATATGAACACAAACATAAAACTGTAGGTTATATTGAAGTTTGAAAGGCGAAGTGACTAAGTAATGTATCAGATCCAGCCTTTTGGACAATGCTGAGGAATGGAAGAAAAGGAAGGGTAGATACCAGAGTGGGTGTGAGCTTTAGACTTCTCTTGGTTGTAAAATGGAAAAGTTTAATCTGGGGCACTTTGTGTTAGGGAGGAATGATCCTGACTTTCCGTGAAAAGTTACTGCTCTGCAATCACAAGTAAAAAGGAAGAATCTGTAAAAGCAGATGGCAGTCATTCACAGAGTGAAAACCTGGTTTTGAGCAGCATTAAGTGTCCATGTCCCCCCATGTTACCCTGCAAGAAAAGAAACCACAAATGCTGCTGACTTTCCACTGTAGTGTGAAATGATCTGTGCCATGGGTGGGTACACAGCACGTTCCAAACAAATCCTGACCAAGAACACCAAGAAGTGACCTGAAATAAGGGCAGCATCAATTCTCAAGAAGAAACTTCAAACAAAACTGATTTAATCCCTTTGCTCTGTAATACCGCATGCTCCAGGTCGCGGTGCTCTAAGATGATGGTGTGAATTTTGGAAAATTATCCTCTCAGGCTACACTTAGTTTTTTTGCAGCCTCTTAGGCTCATCCAAGTATGTGTTTAAATGTTTTCTTGTACTGAGGTCTAACTAATTTAGATTTTGTTCTTACTGCTAATAATATTTGGTTTATTTGACTCTAAAAAGTGCACTGCATTTGTCTATAGCTTGCAATAGCCAATTAAATATTTACTGATTCCTGGCACCATTAGTTTCACCTTTGTGGGTTTCTGTAATACATTATTCTTACTGAAGGTCTATTCTCCATAAGATGTACACGATTCATTTCTATTAGTATTAGCAGGAGGCTGGCCCATGCTTTGAGAAGAAAGCTTTTTGTTTTCAAAAGTAATTGTTGAGTTTTTATAACTGGTACCCTAATGAAGTCCAATCTTGAGAAAGAGAGAGAACAAAATATCTTAATAAATGTAACAGAAAATTTTACTTATCAACGGAAAAAAAAATTATAATCAGAAACAAAAAAAATCTCACAAAGAAAAATTAGAATACTTACATTGGTGACATATTCGATATCCTTCCAAATATTACATTCCCTGGGAAAATCTGCCAAATCTAAAAAATTATCCACTATCACTTGGCCAATCAAGTCATGCCTGGAGAATCTGTCAAAGTCATATACAGAGAAATGGAGTTTCCGTGTGTTCAGGTCATTGTATGGGACAGTAAATAAAAAAACTTCATCAAATACCGGATTTAGCGTCTTTCTGTGCACTTTAGTCTGGTGTTTTGTTTTCCGATCAGGAAGCAGATATATCTTCACATAGGGATCTGAAGTTCCAGAGAAGTCCTTTGCTGGCAGGTTGATAGCCTTGTGGATCTTCACTATCAGCTGCTCTAAATCACAATCATATTTCAGAATGAAATTCAGCTTTCCACAGGCCTTGCTATTATTCCTCCGGCCATCATCGGTGTCCACTGATCTTTGTTTATACAGCTCTGGCTTAATGCGGCCAATCCCCGTCAGCTGCTCCTGTTTCTGAACCTGCTGGATGTTGAAGTCAGGGTTGGAGAGGTTGAGCTGTCTTCGGATTGAATTATGCCTTAAGTGAAAATGAAGTAGAACTTAAATTTGATTTTGTTATATGATTTCTGAGCGTGCACACACACTTAAGATGCTGTCTTCATTTGAAAGATTTTTGGTGTATATGATACCACAGAATCAAATTTTCTTACATTGTGTTAAAACACAGTATCTAACACAGTATCTAACAACTGTTCTTGTATCTGAATTTAATGGCATGAGCCTGGCTCCAAATCTAACTGATAACTAGTTCAAATTTGTGGTGACTTGCACACCTAAAGGATCTGCCTTATTGGCATGTATATAATTAATTTAACACTTCTTAACTCTTACCATTTTCAACTGAATTCTTTGGATTAATGCCTATAAAATAAGTTATATGACATAAATATCAACTGGATCTGACCTATTATGCCAGCTGAGCTTGATGATTTCTGGTTTGATGATTTCTGGACCAAGAAAAATGCTGTATTTTAATAATTAGTTGATCGTTCTTACAGATAAAGTAGTGAGCTGTTCTGATCTGAAATGGTTTGCTGACCGCTCCATCGGTTGTTTTTTTCTCTCTCATAACTGCTAGCTGATGTAATAAGCTCTGCAGTTCTTAGGCTGAAAGCTCCTTTAGTTTCATTACTCCTAGGAGAGAGAGTTGCTTTTAGCTTTGGTCTAGTAAGATTTATTATCTGGAGTTACTCGTTCACTGTGATTAAAATTTTCACTTCATGAGATAGCAGAAATCAAATGTGCAGTTCCTGCAGGAGCAGGGGGCTGTGAAAGTTGGACTTGGTAAAATCCTAATCTTGTATGAATTGGATCTTACTTCTTTGTCCTATTCATATTCTGAAATCATTGAATGTACTGGAGTACCATAAACTGTGGATAAACATAAAAAGAGCCCCTGGAAGATATTAGTACTAGACTGGTCCAAAACTCTTTACAAGGAATGTAATCAGCAATAGTTCCTCTACTATCATTACTCATTTATTTCTTATGTGTGTTTGTGTGCTTAAAAGAGGAATAGCCTCTTGAAAACTCTCCTAGTTTTTCTCTTGCTGCATAATAAATACATAATTATRTAGTTACATATTAGCCATTTCCATGACAAAATATTATGTAAAAAAATATTGCATCACTGAACAAGTGAATTACATCACTTGTAGTAGTGGAAGTTGCAGAATATCCTAAGGAGGAATAAAAAAGAGGATGCTGGAGACTGTGCTTTCTTGCTGAAGTTGTAAGACAGACTGTAGCAGAGGCTCTGTCACCCCCCAGGAAAGCTGCAGCTGCCTACCAGCTTATGCAAGAAAGGAGCAGATGCAAAAGATGAACAAAAAGCAGGTGCAGGACAAGGGAGATGAGCCTCCCCTCTCTGTCATGGAGCCTTTTGGAGAAGTGCATCTCCTGGACTCGGAAATCCACTAACTCTTTGTGTGATGATCCTTTTTCTCTATGAAGAATACTCCTTTCATCATCTGCCACTCTCCACCCTCTTGTGCTCCATCTTGCCTGTTCCCTCCTGTACTGCTTTTCCACTCCCCTGGGAGCTTTCATCCACTCTTGTTCAGTCACTTCCCCCCCACTAGTAGTCTAAAATCTATCACTTTTAATCCAATTTCTAACTCTTGCAAGTGTTTCATTAGCTTGCCCTACTTTTCTTCTTTGGCTGCTTTAAAAATCTTTGAGGAGGTATTACTGACTGCTCAGCATAAGTGTTAAGTGCAAATGAACAGGCTTTGCAACCTAAATCTAGGCTGCTATGGTGCTGTAAGGGACACACAGCATTTGCTTTGTCCAGCTTCTGAGAGGTACAAAGGAGACAGTGCCTGCTACAGCAACAGTACTACTGTCACACAGTTCTTTTAATGCAAGATGTTTGGGTACCTCACAGTAGAGGTAACTCCAGATAATTTTTTTTTAAAGAATTTCAGGAGTAGATTATACATTTGTAGTACAGTGCTATGCTGGATAATTGATCTGATACTTGGTTGTATCTATATTTATTAATATTAGAGAGAAATTAGACCTACTGACCGTGCAGAAGAGGTTGGTTCTGTGGTCTGACGATGCATCCGCACATTGTGCACACAGTTCTCTTTTGCTCCTGTCTGTGCATCTACTGGAATATCGGGGGATGTGTGGCTAATTTTCAAGGAGGATTCCGGAAATGCTGTGGGCTGACCCAGATAATCTTCACTGTACTCATGGTCATTGGTCTCTGTGTCTGTATAGTTCAGTGATTCCTGTTTGTCTTTGTTCCCAAATGGCAGCCCACGCTCTCGCCAAGGGATCCAGCAAAGCTTCCAGGACACAAACAGAGAGACCCCAAAGAGAGCAAGACCACAGGCTGTGACAACTAAGGAGAGTAAGCTTACTGAGATATCTGCAAAGAAAAGAAAAACACAAGTGTGTCACATTTTTGGTGCTTCTTGTTTTGAACTCACTATCTCCAACATGGCATACAATCTCGAAAGTAAATTTCTCCAGACTGCAAATCTGTAAGAATTAATTTTGGTACCTGCAACAGTCATGTAATGCAAGCACGTTAAATATTCTGTTCTTTTCCCCTGCCCCAGCAGAAAAATTTAACCTTCTTTGGAATGCAATGTAAGACTGATCTTAAGGCACAGAGAGCTTAGCTTGTATTATCTTCCCTCCAAAAGCTGGAACATGTGAAGTGTCGTCCTAAATATGATAAGGGCTATCCACTTCTTCAATCAACTTCCTACTAATTAAATGAGCATTGACTACAGTACATTTTGCTTTTTCTTTCTGTCAGTTCTCTCAGCCTCCTTTACCAGGTTTAATCCTCCTCTCTTCCAAAGATTGTATTATCCTTGTACAACCATCAACAAGCGCATATGTGCATACACACTTGTCAGGGTGTCTTTTTAGATATTCAATCTTGAATCATTTGGACTGAATGAAATATCTTATTTCATTAGTTTAATTCCATCCCTCTTAAATCTTATTCTCATCTTTGCAAATTATATTACATATATATATATATATAAATACTATCTGCATATGTCCTGCTGTTCAGCATTTGCTCTGGATACAAGTATTTGTTCAAAATTGAAACTTCATTGTTTCCTTTAACCCAAAGACTCTTTGGTCTGCTTCCAAAATGTAGGTGTAAAAGAAATGTGGAGATGGGCTTTCCATCATTTTTCCCCACATCCCTAACATTATCTAACTCTATAATCACATCTAGAGAAAGAAATTATGAGTTGGAGGTGCTTTTCTCTATTTTGCTTTAGGGTGTGCCTTTTGAAAAATGAGTCAATGAAACAGCTGTTTTTATGGTTACAGCATTTTTGAAATAAKTTTTTCTGCAGATTATGCAATAGATCATGCCTTAAACACAATTAGTAAGAACTTTTACTGCCTCAAATTGCTTTGATAAGGTTGTGTTTATAATTTTCCACACTTCTTGTAGGTTTAAAATGTCAGGATGCATCTCTAGCTAACAGCTAGCTTCAATTTCCAAAGTATGGTACAATGTTGAAAAATGCAGCTTCTGCTAGTGCTGTTACTTAGAGAATGACAATTCAGATAAACCAACCTTGGTCAATTTGAGAAAAAAGAATTTTTTTTAAACAAAAAGCTCCCGAGTTTCTGACCCTGCCGTGAGTCTTATTCTCACCAGATCACACTTCCACCTAGGAGAGGAATAACACTACAGTCAATTTTGCACAAGAACTCTCCAACTTCCTTTGCATGCTGAAAACCAATTTGAAACAATTTTAACCAGCAGAGCCCATTCTGGCTTCTGCCAGTTGCTAGAGAAGAAAGTTGATGAACTGTGAGGACAGCCACTGATTCCTTCCAGCTCTACTTAGGGCTCCTTGAGGAGCCCAATGCAGTTGCCCTTTTCAAATGCTCCAAGTTGCTTTCTCTCTGTAAAAAGAAAAGTCAAGTGGCTTTAACATGTAGCCTTATTCACTGAGTTTTAAGAAGCTATAATGAACTAGGTTATCTGCTCACATTAAAGATGAGGAATATTTTTTTTTCTTTTATGTGGGGAAAATATTTGGTGGGGAGAGGCTGAAGAAAGATAAAAAGCTGTGGGAAAACATTTTTCCCCAAGACGCACCCACCTGTGTCCTCAGAATACAAGAATAAATTTAAAGTAAATATCTCCTTCCCATCCCCACCATACAGCAATTATCTCCCTGCCCCATCCCCATCTCTGGAGAGCAAAAGAAACAAGTTCAAAGCTTCTGCTGACTGTTAGTAGCAGATAATTCTGGAAATCCCATATCTCTCTTTTCTAAAGACCATATTTTCTAAGAAAAAAATGCAGAATATATGTGAAAACAGAGAAACTAAGAGAGGCAAATGGAGAATATGATATCTAAGATGAAACAGCTTAAAACTGTAAAGGGCAAAGACAAACAAAGCACAGAAGCTAAATTGAGCAAGACAACATTCAGACTGCTCTTCTGCTCTATCATTCGTAACCAGCAAAGTGATTATTTTAAGGTGTGATGCTCTTGGAGGTCTTCCTAATTTCAGCAAACCCAAATATAAAGGATAACCTCAACTTGCTTCTTTTGCAAAGCATATACTGAATAACATATGCTATGGGGTGAGAACTGAGCATGTCTGGATTCTGATTACTATAAACAACGCTGTGAAGTTTTCCCATGAAATATATATTACCACACTGTGCTTATTTTTCAATGTAAAATTGATACTAGACATCTTAAAGGGTTTTTCTTCTTGCTTTTAACTAGTTTAACAGAGAGGAAAACTGTATTGTTCTTCAGTATTGCAGATATGCTGTATTTATGACTAAAAAAGCAAATATTAAGCACAGGGTAGCCCTGTCAGCTGTCATCCCCCCACCCCAAATCTTCACAAGGAGACACACCAGGGATGAAGATAGGAGCTAGAAATGACCTCAGGTATGATTAACTTCTAACTTTACCATTCCCTGTATTCCTGGCAGCAATATCCATGATAATGCTGTTGGTTCACATGGTCAGCTGGAATCAGTTTAGGATAAAAAATAAATACTAATAACTACTTCATTAAGACTAGAAATTCTTGAAATTCTTGAAATGAGAAATTGTCAAAATTAGGATATTTTAGCTTTTTATGGAAAAAGGGTTTTTTTTTCTGTCATACCTTTATAACAAGCAATCTTTCAGAAAGGACTGCTCAGTCAGAAGTCTATTTTTCATTCATCTTGACATAAAGGTCAAAGATAGGAATGCTTCTGGGTATCAGGTTTTTCATGCTGATAGTAAATTATCTAAATACACCATCTTCACATGTTTCTGCATGTTTCAAAAGCAGCAAGGGGGTTCACAATGTATTTACCACCTCAGAACGGCAGGGAAGATTTCTATTTTAGATATCTAAGAATACATTTCCTTATTCCTTATTTACATGAATAAGGAAACATCCACTTGTGAGCACCAGAGATGAAGGTTATTGGAAGGATTAGAAAATTTTATATTTTACTCAAAATATCACAGTGAATATTTAAGTCACATAGGTAAATGGAGTCATGCTGTTAGTAGAAGGCCTAAGCAACAGCAGTTCCTAAAATTATGCATGTTTTCTACAGTAAAGATTTACAGTAGCATTCCATACAGTGATATCATCTTCTTGGTCTGTATTCACATGTGTGCGTATTTGTAATTGCTACAAAAAGTAACCTCTGCTACACTCTCTTCTAAAGCTAATTTTGCATTTATCTTTTATTGTCAAAACACCATTTTCCACATTATGTAAGACCATTAATCTGGTAATTAAGTGAATGAAGAATATCTAAATAATAGATGCAATTAAAACCTAGCTTCAAAACAGCTTGAATGTGCTGGAAATCACTCCATTATATACTTCCTTATGCTTGTCTTTCCAATTGCAGAAGGTAAAACTAATACCTGTCTCTGCTTAACAGTCTGCGTTCTGATAGGAGCTATTTCTAATACGTTAGAGGCATCTTTTTTTGTCATTATTTTTTCTTGGAGAAATTTTGTATCTCATGCTAGCAGTATATAGAATCTATACTCATTTTTTGGATTTGCATTTTCACTGATTGTTAGTTGGACTAGATCTGTATCTTACCTCCTGAAATTATTCTCTCCATAAAAATTAGAACAGCTAAGTCTTTAATATGAGGAACTACCAAGTACCCTCTCTGCTTTGCTAAGAAGAGCAAGCAAACATTTGTGATTAACTGTTCCTTCATCAACACACTAAATGGAAAGAGCAGGTGCTGTCAGGCCAAATTTGAAACACAAACGTGTGCTGTAACATCCAAACCCTAGGCACTAGCAGCAGACAAAGGAGTCCCCATTCCTGTAAGGGAAAATTTTGCAGATTTATGTCTTTTTTCTGCTGCRCTTTCTTTGCTGTCCTAGATGGCTTCTTAGCAAAGCTCTCTCTCTCTCGGTGAGATTTCTAGACACAGCACGTCAGCTTTGGCTGTTTAAACTGTCAGGCTACACTGGTAGCAGACAAACCTATGCAAATAATTTAGTGATATTTCCACCTCTGCTTCTGAATATGTGGAGGAAGTGTATTGTGTTTCAGATTTACTGTATAATCTCTCTTACAGATAAAATAAATGTAACTCATTTCAGTAGTTTCAGCCCTTGTCTTCCCATATGACGCATTTCTGCTAGCGAGTTAGCACTGGGTGGCAGGGAAAGGGAGAGAGGAGGAATCTTTTGGTGGAAACTTGCCTGGCCACACTGGCTGTGCCACACTGGTTGGTGATATAGATTTACTTGTACAGTCTTCATGCATGAATTACAGAAATAAGTAGGAATAGTAGTGCTGTAGTAGACAAAAAGTTTGGTATATGAGCTAGGTCCAAATTTTAGTATTCTTCTACTCTGAAAAAAAAAATCCACAAAACCTCTAAGATGCCCTTATTTTGAATTAACTTTCTCCAATTGTGAGCRCCCAGAAACAACATAGTAATGCATTGTATGCTTTAGAAAATATACAGTATAGTGATTACAGTTAATTGCAAATGAGATTCTCCATTAGGCCTAAGATGAACCAAAGGAGACAAGCAATTTAACAGATTGCACTTTCAGTGCCAGAATCAATTAAGATTTTCCAAATCCTGTAAACATTCATAGTAATTAGTAAGCTACACATCCCTGAGTGTCTTTGACGGATGTCCAGCATGTGCTATCTTGTTGTGCTTAGCCATTAGAGAAGACAGGCTAACAAGTGTTTTAACAGATAGTCTGCAGCACACGTTTTCAGGGAAAGAGCTACAAATCTGCAGGTACATATGCTGCCGATGCTGGRTGCTCCAGCTACTGGGTGCCACTGAGAGCAGCAACTCTGCCAAACAACAATTAATTCCTAGGCCATGCTGACCAAACCACAGGACAACTGATTATGAAGTAC